CCCTCGTCATCTCCATTGCATCGTCATCCTCAGAGAAATGATGGGATCTATTGTGCTCCAGAGCAGCCTGGACATTGCAACTGATATTTCCTGTCATTTTAACATTGATTGCAGTCTGGCTCAAAGTGAGCTCCATGTCATCTTGGATGTTCGAAAAGGCAGCTGTCATGAATGCAACACCTCTTTGATTTACAGAAATAGAGGGTGTAAAAGGCTGAGCATTATCTTTGTTTTCAGTTACAACATTGTGACTCTTGGTTGCCTCTATATCATCGTCTTCAACAATTCCAACACGAGAATGCCTTCGTTGAAGTCCCCGAGGTTGTTGTGGGTTACTCTTGGCACCTGGATGTTGTTTCACTAAAAAAGATAGCAAGTGATTCTCCTTATCGATATCCGATGTGCTTGTATTAGCTGAACTGAAGATATTACCAAGCTGATTTTCTGAATAGTGGGGCTTAATGGTATTTACAGTGGGTAAGCTCATACTGGCGAGAAAAGCACTGAAGTCCGAGTCATTGGCAGCATTTTTCCTCTCTGCTTCTGCTTCATGTGGCAAAGCATTCTGACTTGCAACATTCAGATCACCACGGATCGTCTGAGCCATGTTGATGCTAAAATCTGGGTTTGTCTCTTCTTCAATTTCATAATCCTTATCAATTGTGATTGTGTGACTCTGAGTAATATCCATGTATCCAGTATCCTCTCCGAGCAGCATTGTTCTATCCACACAGTCATCTTGCAAGACTGGTTCAGAGAAGAAATTCTCCTACAATTGAGAGAGAAAGGTAAAAATAATCAGTATATGTCAAAACAAGGTGTGTATCAATGACAAATAAATACAAAAACGCAGAAGTAGTTATTGACAATCAGGCATTGTACATTCACACACTCCAAATTAAATCTCTGTGGCAGCATACATATACTTTTTTAATCAAGGATGTCAAATTGCAGAAGCCTGAAATTCATAATCTTTTTGACTTTCTGGTCTTAGATTAGTACTTACCTTATGCTGGGACAGATAAAGAGGAGTGTTCAACAAAGTATCCAGGACTGAAAGAAATGGAAAGGTTTAGTGGTTCACTGTCTGACTATGAAAATCATTCGCAGGAAGCATGTAAATACATGCATGAAATCAGTAGATTGTGGTACAGTGAGCATCACTTATTCGAATTATGTCAACACACTCCCATTTTGAATAAAACCACTTGCACTGTGAACAAGATTGGAGAACAATGGCTCAATTGGTCAGCAAAATTTGACATCTTTTCCATGAAAAGATTACCTTTGATTTGGTGACTTTCCTCACCCACAAAATGCAGAATCCTGTCATTAGAGGAAAAAAAAGAAAGTTGCAGCTTTACATATATGATGTGGATCACATCATAGAAAAGCAGCTGAACATGTCCAACTTGAACAAGTTGGAAAACAAATGAAAAAGCCATTACTTACTTTTCATTTGGTCTATCTCCTCCTGAATTAAAAAAAAACACAATGAAGTAAATTAACAGCATGCAACTGAAATATTTAAAGTCCCCCTGTAGTCAAATATTTTATCCCTTAAACCTTATCTTTGATAATCAAAATTACATATTTAAATGTTTTTTCTTGTGAAAATAATTTTCTCATGCCTTAAAATAGCTTGAATGTAACTCTACACCCTTGCCTCATTTACTATATGCGGATCTATGAATATGCAAATTAGCCCCGCCTCCACTCAGTCACAACAGCTAGCGCCTCCTGATCCACTGAACTGTAGTAAACACAAAAAATGGCATACACGGATAATGACTGATAAAACTATGTTTTTACTACCGGACAACTACAGTGAATACTGTAACATTCGTTAAAGGAGACATATCATGAAAATCTGACTTTTCCAGGTTTTAAGTGCTATAATCAGGTCCCCGGTGCATCTACCAACCAAGGAAACGTGAAAAAGATTAACCCAGTAACTTTGTTTTGGTAAGCCTTTTTCTGCAAGCGCCTGAAAAAACGAGCGCGTCTGATTTCGCTCCCTTGGTGATGTGGCAAAGGAATCTCATTATAATATTACCGCCTCTTAATCTTTAAATTTCCAACCACGGCGCAGTCATTTTGATTTAGCAAGTGACAACGGTGTATTCAAAATAGCCTTTTTCAAAATGATATAATAAATGATCTGTGGAGTATTTTGAGCTGAAACTTCAGACACATTCTGGGGGCACCAGAGACTTACATTACATATTGTAAAAAGGGGCATAATGTCTCCTTTAAAAAGTTACTTACTTGACGATGTTGTGTCCTAAAATGCTGTTGACTGAATGCAGCCATTTGTGATTCCAATTTGCACCTGTGAGCATACGCGTGTGAAGTGCTCTCCCGATGCGGGAGAGGTGGGTCTGACTCCGGGCTACTTTCACACTGTTGCCACGGGTTAAAATGCAAGTTAGCGGTTCTAAATTCACATTAAACCACAGCTTCATGGGTTTTTTGCTCTGATTTATTTTTGGTTTTGTGCTGGTATTGGCATATTTTGCATGCTAGTGATAGGAATCGATCCCTTGACGTGATTGGTTATTGGATTGTGACGTAGCAAACCGGGGTCTGTTTCAAACCGCATTTCTGGGACTGCCATTGGGAAACTACAGTTTTAAAGAAAAAAATACTCAGCAATCGTGTTGATTAATGGATTGGCACATGGTTTGTCTAAAAGCATATTAAAAACACGACATAGACAAATAAACAACATAAAAAAACTTGATTTTCACTATAGGGGGACTTTAATGCTTTTGATTTGAGAGAACTGGTACACATAATCGTTAACCATGAACCACAAATTAACTCAGGTAACATGTTAAAAACAAATAAACTGCTTACCAACTTGTGTGTTTTGAATGGATGCCAGAACAGGAGATTCACTCTTTGCATCACTGTGAAATTTTAAAAATCATAAATGAATTATCTACACATGTAATTTATGTATTGTATCTTCCAATCAGTGCGTCGACATCCTTGCACTTACTTTGTAAAGACTCGAACATTATTTGTAGTGGCAAAACTCACTCTTCGTGAATTTCTCTTCTTCTCAACAGGCTTGACAATTTCTTCCTGCATAAATATACACAAAATTTTTTTTTTTTTTAAAAGAAACAACAACAACAACAAAATTATATTCAAAACACTTAATCACCTTTTGTTCTTCTTGCTCAGCTCCATGTATTTTCATAGGTGTTCGAGCAGCTTTTAAAATCTGTCAGGGGACAATCAAGGGGCACTATATTATGTCCTGAGACATTTCGAAATTTAAGAAAATTAAGAGGAAAAGGCTCAACAACATTTCTCGCAGGCTGTAACAGAGTGAATATAGGTAAAGTGGGATACCTATCGAGCTATCATTTATGTGTACATTCTTCCATTACTAAAAAAAAAAACAGAAATATACTCAACCTAAACTAGTATGCAAAGATACTGAAGGATCATATATATATTGGAAAGGATAAATCTTCAAAAAAATGTTTTCAACCTCCTCAGTGACATAATGAATACATACCGAAGACAGTCTCCTTTTTGAGGATTTCACTGCCTCATTGCTGGGAAAAAAAAAGAAGAAAGATTAGTTATACAAGTTGTTTTTGATAACATATTGTGGAATTTACCTGGAAAGAAAACCATTTACTTATAAAACATGGACATTTATTACATTACATGTATTTATTTATCAAATGTTTTTATCTAATGCAAATTAAGAACATTGAAATCAATTTTACAAGCCCAAAAAAAGCGTTTTTTGCATTATGTCAATGCATGACAGTAACTAAATTATCAACTTCAAAATATCTTCTTATGTATGCTTATTTACACGGATGCATTTTAACAGTCATTATAAAAGAAAGTCCCATTAAGAGTTTACTTTCACAACTTGCAACAGTCAGTGACTTGTAATATACAAAAAGATGATGACAAGCAAGCTGAGTTATTTTAACTTATTTCCAGGCTACTAAAGCCTAAACGAGTAATATTAGATGGCAAAATATTAGATTTGTTTAAGAGGTGAGGTCATAATTACAAATACAATAGTTCTGACATTTGCATTACAGCAAAGCAAAACGTTATCAAAACATTAACGGAGTTCTGTTCAGTTTAAATACGTTCAGTACAGCAAAAAAACATAAAAGAACATTTTGAAAATGCGCAGACCGACTCAATCGTTTATACACAATCAATAAGTGCAAGACTGCATTATTCATCCAAAGCTGCATGTCGACTCGGTCTAATGTTACCTGCAAAAAAAATTTGGATAACGTTACACTGTAAGAGATCAACTTACCCTAAATTCAGCTGCTCCATCTTCAATTAATTTGAGTGATAACATTACAGCTCACAAAATCTAAAAAAACAAACAAAAGTGAGGAACACTATATTTGAAATAAATAAATAAAAACCGTTTAAGGTGGTTTGTTAAAATCATTCTAAACGTTATCTACATTTTAGTAAGACGTCTGTATTTCCTCAGGCGTGTTGTTTTAGTGTGTGCTGGGACTGTCAGAATAGACATACGTTAGCTCATAGCAACAACAACAGCATTATACTAAAGAAAACAAACAGCTCTCGGCATTTTAATGACTTTAAACATGTCTTACTTTCATAAAAGCCAGATTTTCAGTTGAACTAAAAAACATTAATAAAGCGCAATACCTAAACTTAATTTCCCTCCATTCGCTGCTTGTCTTCTTTTCTTCGTAAAATTTGAACTCAACCGCCGCGTCTCTTCCTTGCGGCACGCTCCGTGACTTTACACATGACGCGTTCCTCTCGCGCCCTCTAGTGGAGCGGAGAATTCTTATAATTATTTAAATCAAATATAACAAAAACACATTTTTTGCGAACTTTGGTTGGATATATTATCGATTTAAGAATCTTATAACCATATATATGTTTTATATACATACATTTAGTTTCAACGTTACATAGAAATTTCAGTCTATAACACTGATCTGGATTTGCAACGGAGGCGGAAGTGACGCTATTTATTTTGAAAATTCATGGCGCTGAATTAAATCGGGACTTTTAAAACATTTATCTACTGATCCGCATTAGCTTGGTGTGGTAAGTTTATTATACAGTCATACTTTAGTTTAAAATAATTTCAGTTACCGTTGATTTATGATGTGAGATCTTTTAGTAAAATAATTTATGGAAAGAAAAATGGTCAGTTGACTTGACGAGACATAAGCGAAGTATGACATGGTGGACACGATGCGATCTTATACTATTATATTAAAAAAATTAAACGAAACATAATTTCTTTACATTATTTACGTTCATGGTGGTAATGCAATTCAGACAGGCAATGTTTCAGTATGTAATTTTCTCCCATCTGCGCGATCAGTATTTTGCTTAAGTATTATCGCCGTAAATGTGATTGTTTCTCCAGAAAGCTGCATTCAGACATGAAGAGAGTTCAGATAAAAGACACAGCGATTCCTGCACAGCCCAGTGTGGCATCCAGAGCTGCACATGTCAAGAACGACACAGAAAATAAGTGGGTATCTTTGTTAAAAGTTATGCAAATATTCTCTTTACTGTAAACACCATGTTTTAAAATATATAATATGTTTTTTTTAGGAAGAACCAGTACAGATCTCTGAAAGTGTAAGTACCAACGTATGTGTGAAATTATCGAATATGATTAAATAAAAATGTAGTTATGCTCATATAATACTGCAGTTTAGTCCAGGGGTCACCACTCACCAGACTCCTGTCCTGCAGAGTTTAGCTCCAGCCCTAATCAAACACACCTCAACCAGCTAATTGAGGTCTTACTAGGTATAAAGTTACTTGAAACTTCTTCTAATTTATTGAGATGCACCTGTATGTTGAGGCAAGTTGGAGCTAAACTCTGCAGGACACCGGCCCTCCAGGACCAAGTTTGGTGACCCCTGGTCTAGTCTGTTTGAAAATGTAAATGCGTACTACTTCGATTTTCTCAGGCCATCTACAAGATATGGGCAACAGAATGACATAAGGGAGCAGAATAGAGTCCTGACTTCAACAAATGAAGACCTGCAGAGACAGCTTGAGGAAATGAAGGTTATTACACTAATCATTGATCATTCTAGTGATTTACTCAAATACAGTAATTGTTTTATGGTGCACACTGCACAGTGATATTTTAGAACAGCTGTTGTAGTCAGTAGAGTCAAATATATATATATATATATATGTTTCTTAAGGGAACTGTGACTGACCTGGAGCTGCGGTGCACAGACCTCCAAGGAGAAAATCAAGAAATTCAAAAACAGCTGCGAGACTGTCATGTCCTCCTTGTTGCAGAAAGCCTTGACCCAGGTTCTAATTTTTTTTTTAACTCTGTTGGATTGACACGTGAAGAAGTTGTTGTAGTCTAAACCACCTCAAATTCAGTTTCAGGGGAAAAGTTGGGCCAGACAGCTCAACAGAAGGAAGAGCAAAGGAAAGAAGTTATGGTAACAATTAGTTTTTTCTGTATTTGTATACTTTCATATGATGTTTTCATTTTGTTTGTTTATTTAATATAAATGACTTTTTTAAATTAAAATACATTTTATATGCCTTTACACACACATATATATTTTTTGGAGATTGTGAATGCGAAAAGCCTGTATAACCTTAGTAACTAAAGTCAAGGAAAAAATGTTCATTCATATTTAAAAAAAAAAGGAAACAATAGTAATCATTTTTTTCTTAAAATTCTCTGATTCTTGGAAACATGTGATGCTATTAAATGGACCCATGGTCACTGCAGGGACATATAATAGGGATTGATTATATAATCAGCCATATTGTACATTCATCTGTAGTGCTGTCACACCAACTTATTTGCTTTTATGGTCCGATTACTATTGTGTTACTATGTAGAAGAAGATGTATTCTGAAACACAAACGAAGCCTAATTCTGGTCTATAGCATGTTTTACATGAAGAATCCATCCTGACAATGTTGTTTAGTGCAGGGCTAATGTTAATCCCAGGCTATGGGATATTGACTCTCAATTAATTATTCATTTTCTGTCTATTTTGTTTCTTCTAATGGTAGACGGTTTCTCATAATCTCCTGACTGAGCTGAAACTGTTTGGTGAGACGGCACAAGAGCATGCAGCAAATTTACTGGTGAGTATCAGTGGTTTTTTTTTTTTTTTTTTAAATATTCAAAAATACTGGGTTATTTATCCTGATTTGAATGTCCTGCGGCACTGACCAGACATTAATACAAATGTTTCACTAAGACTGATTTATATGAGGATGAAATTACACACATTCTGCTCTGCTGGGCTAGAGGCTGTATAATTAATCCTAATGCCAGGTCCACAGCTGATAAAATATTAATTTGAAATGTTCTAACCCTTCTAAATGTTATTGAGTGTGCCTCTCCAAAACTACTGGACTATGGCATGACCTAAAACCGGTTCAGTGAGGATTTTGTCAGTCTCTGTTTGCTCCTCTGTGAATGCTTGCAGGAAGTGCAGAACATCATGAGGGACCTGACGGAAGCGCATGGAAAGCTCCAGCAGGAGAGGGCATTGTTCACTTTGGACGTGGAGGAAATGGAGAGAGATTTGGGGGAGGTAGAGAGATTCTTGATGGAATAAATGAAAGAAACTCTTTTACTGGCCATAAATACTGCAGTGCCATATGGTGTTGTTCGGAGATCTGTCAGTCTGAGAATGAGAAGCATTTGGGCAAAAGTGTAACATACTGTTGCATTTAAAGGAACATACAGCTCATACCATTTAAAGAAACACAAATTTAAGAATGCTTTATGATCAGAATCTGTTTTTGTCTGCTTACAAGTTTAAGATATTAATATAAACAATTTTCATGCACCTCTAGAATGGCAAGGCACTTCTTAAATGCTTACTGTATATTGTTTTCATTTGAATTCTTTGTGCAAACATGACCTTAAACATTATTAAATGTTAAACTGGCTTCAACAAGAGACGTGCCTCTCCTTTACATAGTGTTGTGCCATGTCATCTACTTCCATCATAGTATCTGAGACAAAATGATGCCAACTATAAGTAATAGTTACATATTTCTAAAGTTAAACTGAGTATGCTTAATAAGCATTGTCGCATTTGACATGGAGATTTAAACCACAATGCCCTTGTGATGTGTGAGGTAAGACAAGCCATTTTTTTGGACAATAAAATGTATCTTTCTTAATTCAATAACTTTTTCCTTATGATGCATTTTTTACACGTCTATCAGAACACATCATGACTGAAATGGCCACTGAATTGAATTCATTGCCATTCAAATGAAATAGTCTTGAACTAGGTAAAGGAATAGTTCACCCTAAAATGAAGATTTGCTGAAAATGTACTCACTCTCAGGCCATCAGAACAGATTTTGAGATGTAGCATTTCATCACTTGCTCACCAATGGATCCTCTGCAGTGAATGGGTGCCGTCAGAATGAGAGCTCAAACAGCTGATAAAAACATCACAATAATTCAGAAATAATCCACACAACTCCAGTCCATCAATTAACATCTTTTGAAGTAGAAAACTGCGTGTTTATAAGACACAAATCCATCAATACATTGCTTCTGGCTAAAATACAGAGTCCGGTTTGCATAAAATAGCTTTCTCCAGTGAAAAAGTCATCTTGTCTGAATCAGAAGAGAAATCTGAACAGATCAAACACTGTTTACAAGCAAAAGCAGCTAAAAATATGTTGGTGGATTTTGATGTGAGAGCAGAAGGAGGAAGCATTATTACACTTGAAGTGTTATTATGGATTATGGACTTGTATTTTGGCCAGAAGCAACGGTTTAAAATGAAAACACCTTAATGCTGGATTTGTTTCTAATACAAACATGCAGCTATTGACTTCACAAGACATTAATTGATGGACTGGAGTCATTTGGATTACTTGTGAATTACTGTGTTGTTTTTATCAGCTGTTTGAACACTCATTCTGACGGCACCCATTCACTGCAGAGGACCCATTGGCGAGTAAGTGATGTAATGCAAAATTTCTCCAAATCTGTTCTTATGAAGAAACAAACTCCTCTACATCTTGGATGGCCTGAGGGTGAATTAATTTTCATTTTTGAGGAAACCATTCCTTTGTGTGCATAGTATTTTATTCACTAAGTATATATACAGTACATACGTATGTATATAGCAACACCAAATAACCAGCATATACCATCTATTGCTTGCACTGTCTCTACACTGCTAGACTCTGATGTTCATAACAGGATAGATTTCCAGTGTGACAGTTCTCTTCATACTGCCAGCTTGCATCCACTTGTTATAGAAAAAAGTCACTTCACTTGAAACGATGTCGAATGTGTTGAATCCTGCATTAGTATAGTAACCAATGCAAACGTCAAAAAATGATACCCATCGCCTCAACACATACCTCATTTGATCACGTCCAAAAAACTGTATGGACTCTGTTCAACAGATCCGATCTGAAAAACAAAAACTCCTGAACAGCATGAGCATGATGTAATGAATAATGTGGTTGAGCCAAAAGAGAACATTTTCTGTGAAATATGTACCTCATCCATTTAATCATAGTAATTAAAACAAGTGCATTACAATGATGAAACCTCAATATCAGCAAATTACAGTGATACAGTGTTCCTACAATAAGCAAATGAAAAAAAAAACATTTGGACATTTACGCCACACTTAAAAATGTTTTATTGTCAATGCATTATATAAACAAAATTCAAACCAAAACATCACTTGTTTTAAAGAAAGACAGCACAACATAAATTCTGAGAAAAGTGCTGTTTGTCAAAAAATGTCAATTTTTTGATGATCTTTTATCTACCGCAAAAACATTCATACATTTTTAAGTGTAGCTCAAGTGTCCAAATATGTTTGGGGCCACTGCGCATCTCATCAGCGAATGTGTCGTATGAATACAGATGACATTTCTGCAGTCTGCATCATTTACACAAAGTACACACTGTGACTCTTTTTGGCATTTAGTCAACAATATGTTATATATATATATATATATATATATATATATAAACTGACAGGTAATTTACTTTGGGAATAATGGCAGCAAAATATGAACACAATATTACTTGTCATTTGTTTATAATAAATACGATTTTTAGTTGGAAGTGAGTGGTACTTTATGCAAAAGATCCAGAAATGATGATGACATAACTATTATTATTATAATAATAATAAATATTCTTAAAGGGCAACATCATTTTTTTTTCTTTCCTTTTGAGACTAGGGTAAGTTTAGGGCCATGCTGCGTTAATACTGTACAACACAATGTGACACGCTGCAGATTTTGATCAATATTTTAATTTTGAGTTAATTTTTGAATCCAGTTTAATGCATTATAATCCTCATATATAATGCATTGTGAGTAATACAGTTGTAGGAGTCGTTTCAGTAACAACTTCTCAAAGCAATTCAAAGTGTTAACAACTTGCTTTGAAGTGCATATTCTTCTCTCTGGCTCATTCCGATCAATAACACTTTGCATAGCACTTTCTGTCTTTGGAAGTAATGTAACGTGTTTCCATTTGAATTTTCAACACAGCAAGAAGCCTGTCCTTGTCTTTTTCGCTGTTTTAAATGACAATTAATGCATAGAAAAGAATAAAACTCTTAAGGCACCAAAACATACTCTACATAAGCACGCAGATGCTCATACAGTTACAATCTCAGTGCTGAAGGGGGCGCCGTTACTCCCATAAATGTTTTAAATGTTGGTCATACTTGCGTAGAGTAAGTTTCAGGCCATATGTTGAGTTCATATCAGAATTATCATATTTATGAGTTAAGTGAGCATGAATGCCACCTTGAAGTTGAAAGTACTAATGAGAAACCTAATGTCTTTGAGCTCCTTTCCTAAATCATAAATGTGACATAAAATGTTATAAAAAAAATCTAAATTATGAGTTATTAGGTCATAATTATTATATAAAAAGTCAAAATTTGAAGCCATAATTATGATGAAAATCAAAATCCTAATCCTTTTTATCTCAATTTTGACATCATGGAGTACCTCATATTTCTGACTTTTTCATTTATAACTTTTTGTGTTTTTTCCCCCTCTATTTTGACATTTCATAATTTTGACGTTTTATATCATAACTTTTATCTCATAATTTTGGCCTTGTCAAAAGTTTATCTCATAATTATGATTTAATATCCCCTAATTTTTATCTCATAACTATGACATAGTATCTCATAATTTAGACTTTGTATGTCATAATTATGAACCTTACCAACTTAAGAGCATGTCAACTACAATATTGCTTTTTTAGCATTTTTTAATCAATCATAAGTTCTCATTATGACTGTTGATGGTGCAGTTTAGTTTAGACCTTTTTATTCTATCTAAAATGACCTGAATGTGCATCATAATGTAATTATAATTTCTGATTCATTCTTAGGAGTACTTGAATGTATCACCATAGCATTATAACCTTATAGTTACCAGCCCATATCTCTAACCACACGTCTTTCCATCTCATGTACTATATTTAATTTAGCACTGATGTTCTTTCAAACTGAAATAAATATTTCAACATTGAAGGAGATGAGAAATCTGTGTATATTTGGGATAGAGAGACAATGTGGCACATTTCTTATCATCTCTCTGGGTGACTGGATTGTACATACACTGCAAGCCAGTCAAACACACTGGATCGTGACTTGCTGAAATGATCCGCTGTGGGCATCACTAAAGAACTACATCGACGTGGCACAAATCTACTCTACAGTAAAAACGTTTCCTTTTTGTACAAAATTGATCCTAAAAATATACACACATACAGCATATTTTACATACAGTATTGCTAACCTAAGAAAATGGTCATTTTCTTTTCCCGCTTAAAGCATCACTCTTTTGGTTTAAGAGAGCAATACGTGTGCAAAGGCAGTATTTTCAGTGCTGCCTTTTGTCCAGAATGAAGCCGGCCGTCCCCAACATGAAAATAAACCACACACAAAACACATTGTTGTTCCAGTCTACCACACACTGTACAAGTTTCTGCTGATGTTTCAACTTCAATTCGAGTTTTGGAGATCAGAGCGAGATTCAATGAATCACTCAAGCGTGTGTTTGCCCACACATCACGACTAATCCCGGAAGGTTGCTATGGAACGGGAATTCATAACAAAGGAATTTCCTTCATCCATCTTTGAGGGTCTTTGAGTCTTTAAAATTAATACCACCTCTTACTAAACAGTCTCACAGTGCGAAGTCTCCGCTTCTTCTGGGTCACGGTTAATCTGCTGAAATCCACCCCAAAAAAACACGTTAACAATAAGATACTTCAATGCTCTCCTCCTTTCCTTGAAGAGAGGAGGCCTAAAATACACATTTCGGGGAAAACAAGAAACTTAGAACCAGCACAACAGTTTGATTCGTCCCGTTTCAGGGCTCAACTTCCAGTCTCCAGCCTCCCCGTTTGTTTCAAGTCATCGGTTCATTAGACAAATGAGGAAAAGCCAGTAACTGGAGTGCGTGTTCCTGGTGCGGGCTGCCCCGTGGGGGTGTAGACGCCCCCTACGCTGTGCTGGGTCACCACAGTCTGATAATACCCCCCCTCTGCATCCGTCATGGCACATTCCTCGTACCCTCCTCTGGTCTTCACGCCTTTGGACTGCCGCTTCCACGAGTTGTAATAGGTGGGGTCGCTCATGTAGTGATTTACGAATGAGTGCTTGGGCTGCTCGTCTTCATAGTCGCTGTCGCTGACCTTTACACGAGGGGTGACGGGACGGGTCGAGACCAGAGAGAAAAAGAGCAGACAGTAAAGTTACAGTGTGGATGTGACTGTGACCTGAGTGTTTAAAGGTGTACAAAGTAAGTTTTTGTTGGCTGACCAATATAATAGTGGTCCTAGGTTCTATAGTGACACCTACTGGCATGGATGAAGCATTTTGCAATGTTGTTTTCAGATGCCACTGCAGAGATTGAGCCTCATGCAGTGGTGAAAAGACATTGACTTATTAATTTGTGGCCAATTCTGTTACACCAAATACACAAAATAATGATCTTTAAAAAAGCACCATATGACCCCTTTAATTTGTACCCTCACTTTAGTTAAATTGTGGCCACGACTTATTAATTCATTCCCTCGTTTTAGATAAATTGTGGCTACATTTTAATAAATTTTTCCTTTCTTTTAATTTAATTAAGTTGTGGTCACATCCAATGAACAAATAACAAATTCTTAATTCGTGGCCACGATATAATTTTTTCTTCCCTACATATCAGGTGCAGGGCTCCGTAAAATACCCTATTTGCATTATATTTATTAACATTATTAATTTATTCTACAATTTATCCAGTTTAATGTGTCAATTTCAATTTATTTATTATTTACTATTTTAATTTGTAATTAGTACTCCATTATTTTACTTTTTGTAAAAGTAAAACTAATTTGTAAGCAGAATGTCTTTGTATACCAAACTAATTCAAGCATTTAAGTACGCCTTTATATCAAAAGGTTTTCAAATTGGAACAATTAAAAAATATTTTAGTGAAGTGTGTCCAAACCTTTGACTAGTAGTGCAGAATAAAACAGCCTCAGATATTACATTACAGTAACATTTAATCATTTACACATGCAACTCACAAGTGAGGACAATGGAAGCAATCAAACCAACAAAAAAGCAACATTATGTTTGATATAACGGCAGTATTCATATCATGTGATTGTACTACATTTTTAAATAATTATTTATTTTAAATAAAAAATAAACAAAAACTGTTAATTTATTTTTCATTTTAATAGGTTTAACATTTTAAAGTTTTGGGTAACGCTTTATTTTAAGGTCCAATTCTCACTATTAACTAGTTGCTTATTAGCATGCATATTACTAGCATATTAGCTGTTTATTAGTACTAAACTTAACATCTACCTTACTAAATATTAATAAGTAGCACATTAGCAGTTTACTGAGGGAAAACTCTTAATTAATAGTGAATATGTGTTCCCTATTCTAAAGTGTTACCAAGTTCTGTTTTAGAATAAGTACATTTTCCTTTAGCAACTCACACTTGACTGAAGTTCAAAAGATGTAATGATGCTTAAAGAGGTCATATGATGCGATTTCAATTTTTCCTTTCTCTTTGGAGTGTTACAAGCTCTTGGTGCATAAAGAAGATCTGTAAAGTTGCAAAGACTAAAGTCTCAAATCCAAAGAGATATTCTTTATAAAAGTTAAGAGTCAACCACGCCTACCTAAAACGGCTCGTTCTAACACGCCCCCACACGTCTACGTCACAATGTGGGAAGATTTGCATAACGCCGCCCAAATGTTCACGCAAAGAAAGAAGGCGTAACTTTTATTCTCGCTGTAGTATTGTTGCTGCCGCCACCACCATATCGTGAAGGTGCTGTGTGTTTCGTTGTGAAAGCGAAACTACTTTGTTTGGCCTTCCAAAAGAGGACGATATCCGCTTC